ATCTATATTTTCATACATTTGTAAAATTTGTTAATCTTTTTACAAATTTTAAAGCATGATCTCACTAAGATTGTGAGTTTCCCAGGCCAGGCTTAAACCTTTCCTTATTCAATCTCCCTCCCTCTCCCAGAGTGCTAGGATTGCAAGTATTATCTTGAGTTGATAATCAGCAAAAATTTTGTGCATTCATAGAATGAAATATTTGGCTTTGATCTTTAGACACTTTGCAGAGAGAGTATATCTAGTTAAGCTATGTACCAACTTCCTAACTGGCAGTTTTTTTCAAGGTAAGTAGGATTGAAAATCCCATTAACACTGTTTGGAGATTCTCTGTTTTGTAACTGTGGTCATCATGTGCTTCAGAATATCACTGCAAATGCCTTCTGCACTGGTATTGAGGCTTGGTGTCTTTGAAGCACATTCTGTTTTTTTTTTTTTTTTTTTTTAATCCCTCATGGATTTTCATGACTGTTTGAAGTGAAACCACAAGAAAAGTGTGAAAACTAATGCCACTTGGGGCACACTGCTCTCCAGAAGGCCAGGACAGTTTAAAATATTATTTTTTTCTACCATTGGACTTTCCAAGTTTTTGTTTTGCACTCAGTTTCTATGGATTGTATACTGAGATTTTCACTTAGCTCCATGGTTTTCCACATTTAAAATTCTTTTTATTTTCATCCAGATTCTGGATAAGTGGCTATATTGCTAAGGCTGTCTTTAAATTTGTGGTGCTGTTGCCTCAGCCTTCCGGACTGCTGGCATTACCAGACACTCCACCAGTCCTGTTTTCATCATAGTGTTGCTAAAAACTCATTGGCTGAGCATGGAATGTTGAAAATGCCTGCAATGCCTGCACTCAGGAGGCTGAGGCAGCAGGATTCCTGGGAGTTCCAGACCAGCTTGCAACACACTCTGAGTTCAGCTTAGGCCAGAGCTACACAGGAAGAACTTGACCAAAAACTGAAAAAGAAAAAGAAAGAAAACTAAAGGAATGGGAAATGAAGGAAAGAAGAGGGGAAAGTGGAGGGGAGGGAAGGGAAGGAAAAGGGAGAAACAAAACAAAATTCCTGGCGATTGTATGAGTTGGTCTCTACTGGGCTGGCCTTTTTAATCTGTAGTCCACTTCTTGCAGTATAGGACCCTTTAGACTGTTGTCACTTTATTATATACCAGAAAACTCTGTATTTTGTTGCCTCTAACTTTAATATTTTTTCCATGGCTATAGGATAGACTCTTTGTCCTTCCATCTGAATTTTCATATTGTTTTTCTATTTCTAGGAAAATGGCTCTGATATTTTGACAGGAATGGCATTTGAACACCTGGTTGCTCTGGGTAGCATGTACATTATAACAACATGAATTCTTCCCATCCACCATCACAGTCTGTCTTTTCTTCTCTTAGTGCCACTTCACTCATTGCTTCAATTTCAACAATTTGCCAGGAAGAGGTGTGTTTGATTCAAATTTTACATGAGTATTAATTCTTTTCGATGAATTATTAAATGAATGGTGTTCCTTGTATTTCGGGCTGCAGTTTGTTTGAAGCACATAGATATGAATTGATTATGACTTGTGGATTTTGTACCTTGAAACTGAAGCTATTTGTCAGGTTGTTCTAAAAGTTTTTTCAGTTGAGTTTTAAGTTTCTTATATGAAACGTTGTATCCTCAGGAAAGAGAGACACCTCTTAATTCTTCCTTTCTGATTTGGTAAACTTTTGGGTTCTTATTGTTGATATTTCTTTTTGTTCTTATTTTTTCCTGGCTTCTTTGATTATTTAAGCATATATTTAGAACTGCAGTTTGCCAAAAAAACATTTCCTTGTGTTTTCACTTTCCAGTTGACAGACTTTTTACAGATTTCTACTGTAGTTCAAATCCTAGGTGATTGAATGCTGAGAATCCACTCTCCACCTTGGTAGAATGAGGGAAGCAAAGAAGAAACTGAACTTGGGGACACTGCTGTGCCTTCCAGCATTTTGTACAGCAAACCCTGACTCATGCTTGTTTACCCATAACATATGGGTGTCAATACCAAGTGAATCTGCCACTGACAAATGAGTTTCCTACATTTACTTCAAACAATCTCATTTCCCCTCAACTTGATAAGCACATGGTCTAAGGAGTCTTACACCCAAACTTCAAAAATAATTTCCAGTAAGCAAGAGACTGCTACCCATCCTGAAATCATGATGGGATTTTATGTAAAGACATAGTCTGATCCACACCCAGGCAATCATGAGCTGAGAGGAGCAGATATGGCTTGTGCAGATAGAAACACCTTGAAATTGTCAACCAGCAGCAGCATCAAGCAGGGAGCAGAGCTGCTGAACCCTCACATTTGGGTGATGAAATTATCTGGTGGGTTTTGCCTTGGGTTTACTGAGGTGGCTCAATAAATCTAGGTTGTTGTAGTGCAGTGCCAAAGGGAAGTCATGTCTATGTAGCATTTATTTGGAGTCATTCTTTTGCAATTGTGAAACCTGCATGCATGAGCTTTCACATGTCTGCCACTGCAGACTCACCCACAGGCATTATTTCCATGACTTGTAAAGGATCAGTTTATTTACACAACATGCAGAATGCTATTCTCAGCCTTGTTTTTCTCAGACTTGTAATTTTCAATCATTTCTTCAAAGAAGCTAAATGATTTAGTTTGAGCAAACTTCAATTGTGTTGCCGTGCTTCTGTGTGATGTCATTGCTGACAGACCTGAAAAGGAAGTGAGGTGGACCTGCTGGGGGTTCAGCTACAGAGGGATACTCTGGTCAGCTGTGTCAGTCAGGGCTGCCCCTCATCTGATTGGCCACTCTGGCATCCAAATGCCGTTGCTCGGTGTTGTCCCTGGTGTTGGGAAGCACTGGTTTGCAGTGTAGACTCCCAATGCACTGGTTAGCCCATGAAAAACCTTGCTGTGCTATGAGTTTTTCACCCCTAGACCTGCACCTCAATGGCCCTGACCAGAGTTCCCTCCAACAATCATTCATGGCATTCTCCAAACAGCTCTCCTGTGCATGGTCTATGTGAAGGCTAGGGACGGTCTCAGTTCCTTCCTGCTTCAAACAGTACTGTGAAAGAGAAATCTTGAAAATTTGTGTTGCATTCTGTGTTGAAGAAACCTCTCTTTTAAGTCCTGTGAGGTCTAAGGATGGTTCCATATATAGCTGTGATGGGAGCTACAGGACAGGACTCTGCTCTGTCCTCCATGTTCTCTCCACTGCTGTTCAGCTCCTGCCTTAAAATGTGCCATTGGATGGGGACACAGCACATCTCAGTGATTTGTGCCTGTGTGAATCAACTTTGGGAGGCTGAATGTTTCCTGCACCTGTTGGCCACAGGTGGTGATTTCCTTTTGAATTATAAGACTTTCTCACTTTTCTCACAAAATGAACTGGTGAGACCTCGTTTACTCCAATAATTCAAACCCCGGGAAGGTGAAGCACTTTCATCACCAATCACAGCACTAAACAATGAACCAATCACAGATCTTAGGTTTAGCTGCCTCTGTGACTTCAGTCTTTGGTAGGGACACCCAGATACAAACCATAACACCTTCAAAAGTAAATCCTCTGAAGATGCCCATGCTTTGGACTAGAAGATGATTCCTAGCCTTAGTCCAGGGTTTATCTTATTTTATTTTATTAATTTATTTTTTAAGACTCTCACTGTGTAGTTCAGGCTGGCCTTCAATTCACTATGTAAATTAGGCTGACCTAGAACTTGTAACAATCCTCCTCTCTGCACTTCCTAAGTGCCAGGATTACACCCATGTACCATCACACCCAGCTATTGTTTGTTAAGCTGTATTTATTGATTCACTTGAGATTACTCAATTTAATTATCTTTGTTATACTTAAGTATACAAAAATGCTAATAAATGTAATAAAATTCCAGCCCAATGTAAACAACTTAGCAACTTAGCAAGGCCCTGTCTGGGAATAAATTATGATAAAAGTACCAAGGCACTGCATTCGATCTTCAGCACAGCAAAATTAAATAAATCTATAAATAAACAAAACTTCATATAAAATAATCTATAAATAAACAATACTGCTTAGAAATAAATCTAAAAAAACAAAATTGCTTGTTAATAAATCTATAAGTAAATAAAGCTTTTGTGGATAGCTCAGATGAGAAGTGTTTTTAAAGCAATTTTATTTCATTATAATTGACATACAATGAACTTACAGGTTTAAATACAAAATTGGATGAAACTTGACATGGGGCAGGGATATAGCTCAGTGGCAAAATGCTCCCTGGCAAGCACAGGGTCCTGAATTTGGTTCCTGGTACCAAAAATAAACAAAACTAAAACTAAAAACAAACAAAAAATCCTCTAGGAATCTTGTCATACATGAGCCCCTTGAAAACCATCACCAAAGTGGTGATGTATATATCACCTTCACATTTTCCTTATAGCTCCTTATAATTGCTTCCTTCAATCCTAAGCAATGTGTCTGCTTTTTGTCTTTGGGAAACACTTTGTATTTTCTAGAGGTGACAGGTTATGAAGACATCAGACGACGGATACCGAAAGCACTCATTTCTCTGTAATAAAAGAAGGGCAACAACACAAATAACAATGGCGTCTGAGCACTTGCTATATGGTAGGAACCATGGGAAGAGCTCTGCAGGGTTTTCATTGGATCTTCATAACAGTGCCAAGAGATGAGGATTGCCATCCTTCACAGTTTTTTTTTTTTTTTTAATGGAAAAAACCACGCAGCATTTCAAAGCAAAATAATAGAATAACAATAATGGAAATTGAGGCTCCCAGAAAGAAGCAGTCTACCTAAGGTGTCAGGCCCTGGAAGACTGGAGTCCAGACATCTATAAATTCCAAGCCTCAGACTCAGTCCACTCCTGTGCTTCCTCTCATAGCAGGCCTGGGGCTCAGTCTCGCAGAAGCTCCACCCAGCATCAGAGAAACCCTAACCCCCACTGCCACGCCCACCGCCTCATTCTTGCCTCCTGGAGGGCTCTGCACCTCCTGGGTCCCAGCTTCTGGCCACGCCACTCACATCGCGTGGCCCCACCCCCTGGCGGTTAGCGAAGATTACACTCCACTCGGCCCAACCTGGGCGCCCCGCGCCCAGGGACGGTCCCTTGCCACTGGCCTCCGCATCCCACTCAGTCCCGCCTCGCCCCCGGCCTAGCTTCACAGAGGATGCACGGAGTAGCCATTTTGCCGCTAGCGCCCCCTTCTGGTGACCTGAGCACTCTTCCTTCCTTTCGGCCTAGGCTGTGGCTGGGCTGGGACTGGGGTCTGGCCAGGTAGGTGGAAGGCAGCCGGTGTTGAGTGGCGGTGCGGCCCAGTGGCCCCCGAATTTAGCGGTGCAGGTGCCCTTGGTAGGGGGACCGGGGAGGCTGAGGGCGTGGCACTGGGGCGACCTAGCCTCAGGTCTTCAGGGCTCTCCTTTCCACCCTCCTCTCTGTCGGGGTCCGCATGGCCAGCCTAGCACAGGGCCTGGGATCCTTCCCCCCCCCCCACTAGGTGCTGTTGAGAGCCCAAGCCCTGGTTGGAACCTGTGGCAGGGAGGCTCAGAATCTCACATGGCCTCTGCTGTCAGTGAGCCGCTGACATTTACCCCAACAGGACGATTTTATTCCACTTGGATCTCCTCTCTGCAGACTGAGAGAGGACCTATATGTTAAATTAAGACAGCAGTTATTATTCTACCTGCACATGCTTTGTCTCCAGTCCATTCCATTGATAAGGGCTTTCTGCTTGTTTTAATATTGTCGCCTCTTGGGTGTTTAAGCTTTGTGAGGAGTCTGAGTGTGGCATGGGGCTTTGAGTGATGAGGAAGTGTGATCAGCAGTTTAAAAATTTAAGTCCACAGAAAAAAATAATTCACCCACATTGTTGAACCTGCTGCAGAATACCCATCTTGTCAGTATTTGGCTGTCTCTACCCATACTTCCCAGTTCTGCTCACATCATTTGTGTATTTGCATAGTGTTGAATATTTATAATATATGCTTAGGTAGAGTTTTACTTAGTTATCCTGTTACTGAACATGTACACAATTCAAGTTCTTGTTAGAAAAACTGCATTGAGCATATGTCTTTTTTTGTTGGGATAAATCCCAGACATTGGAAGTAGTAAATCAAAGTTCTGTGTTCTTTCCCTGGTACTTGATATGAATTGCCTCTCAGACAAGACATGTTAACAATAGACACCTTGCAAAATTTAGGTATTTTCCCAATTCTATGGAGAAATTTGGAGTTCAGCAAGTTGTTGAGTCATTTTCTGTACCAGCTGAGAGGCCACACAAAAACAACTGTTGGATTTTATTTTTAACCGATGTACCATGATCATCCTTTTGTTTTGATTGACTCTATTCTGTTTTATTTCATTAGGGTTTATCCTCTTGACAATTAAAAAAAAACCACTTTCTTGCAAGGCATGGTGGTGCATGCCTGTAATCCCAGCACATGGGACGAATAGACAGGAGGATCACAGGGAGTTCAAGCCTAGCCTGAAATACTTGTTGAGTCAAGGTCAGCCTGCAGTACATAGCAATACCTTGTCTCACAGGAAAATAAAACAAACAAACGATTTTTTTCTTCTTTTTTATTTCAATGCAGCACAGGTAGACATTAATAAAACATGAAAACAATTTTATAAATAGATTAATTTTTTTCATAACAGAATAATGGTTAATACACGGTGTTCAATGATCCCAGGGATTTCTGTATGAGCTATATGCCCATGCACTTTAAAAGTTGTTGTTGTTTTTTTAAATTTTTGACACAATCTCTAAATAATTTACTCAGCTCTCCAAGTTGGGTTTAAACTTGTGGTCCTCCTTCCTTACTCTCCCTGAGTGCTGGGAGTACAGGTATAGGATATCTTCCTTTGGTAATTCACAATAGTTATGAATGTTTGTGGGGTAACATGTGCTTTTGATCTATGGTTCCTTTGTAGAAAGAATCAGTCCAGTTAATGTGTCTACCACCTTACTAACCTACAAAGACTTTCACAGTGACTACAACTGCAAATCCCATTGTTTAGCAGTTTTGAAAGCTATCCTTCTTATTAACTGTGGTCACCATGCAGTTTAGTAATCATTGAAAATTTCTTCTCCATTGTTAATGAGACTTTGTATTCTTGGATGAAAACCCTCCTTTTCCCATCCCTCATGTAACTGATCATTCTTTAAAATCAAAGTGACCAAGAAAGATGTGGAGGCTGAAACTGTTTGGTGCACACTGCTCTCCAGAAAGACCAGGTGATGGTGCTTTGTAGCCCTTCATCTTGCTCCCAATTTTTTTCCTTAACTCAATTCAGAGAATTGAATGCAGGCCCTTGCACTGAAATACAGTAAATTCTGATTTTAAATTTCTTTTTTATTTTGAGTCAGGGTTTACATAAGTAAGTACACTGCTGAGACACCAATCTTGGGCATAGATTCTTACATGTCTGTGTGTGAACACACATTGATGTCAGAGACATTTCATTTTCAAGACCAAGATCTTCCATGCACACATCCTACTCTTATCAGTGTATTACTTTGTGATCAGATTCCTTTTCCTCTTTCCTTGTGGGCCCTGAAAGACTGAGCTCAGCATCCCCGCAGCTTTCCCTGGTTCTCTTGACCCACTCTAATGTCTTGAACTCTCTATGTGAAGTGCAGCAAGGCTCCCAGTGTCCTCTTGCTTCAAAGAGTGCTGTGAACCACAGTCTTAAACACAAAGCTTGAAAAGTTATGTGGATCTCTTGTGGGATAAATCTTTATTGTGAGCACTGCAGGGTCCGGGGACAGCTGTGTAGAGCTGTGATTGGAGCTACTGGACAGGGATCTTCTCTGCACACCATGTTCTTCCCAGTGATGTTAAGCACTTGCCTTAAAACCCACCATCAGATGGGGACACAGCACATGTCAGGGATGTGTGCCTGCTTGAATCAGCTTTGGAAAGCTCAGCATTTCTACATTTGTTTACATGTGGTGATTCTCTTTTGAATTACAAGAATTTTTCATCTCTCACAGAATGGACTCATGACACTTCTTTGTCACTTCTAATACAAACTATTTATCTGCCTGCTGCTTGTAAGCAAAGATTTCTTATTGTGGATTCTACATTATTCTTGTTTCTGTTTTTCAAATGTAAAGAATCAGATCTTTCTCTCTCCCTTGTACCACTGAAATTATGGGAAAGCTTTTCCAACATGAAAAGATGAGTAGATAAACAATACTCTTTACATTTTATCTGTACACTTTGGTCTACCCGGGATTTTCTCTTCTTTCGAAGAGCAATAGCAGCCAGTCTCCTCTAGGAATATTTGGTCAAACATAGTCTGATGCACGAATATTAAAGACCCAGAGAACTAAATCACAGGGTGAAAAACCAGAGTGAGTGGGGAATAGTAAGAGAGTACAAGAATATGGAAGGGTCCAAAACTGAGCAGAGTGCTGGAACTCAATGGATGTGGAAATTGTACAAATTGGTGATGTGATGACATGCTACTGAATTGAATATGCTGAAATGCATGTTATCTTCACTTTTAATTATAATTACCTTAGAATTTGATGTTGAGAATAATTATAGAGATAGGAGTAAAAATCAAAACTGAAAGAAATACAAGGGGATGGGTTAAAAGGGGATGGGAAGGTAAAAGCAGGTGCTTTGCAGGACTTGGCCTAAGAGGAGTTCAAGACATCTGTCATGGCGTGAGTAAAAGTGCCAGTTATGGAATTCCTAAAGAGTGTGTGCCTGACCCTAGTTTTCACTTTGATCCCAGAGCTGGTGAGGTCACTGGAGGTGTGGATGACCAAATCTGTGGAATTGGGACTTGAAGTTAGTCATGTACCAGCCATGCATCTGCAGGAGAACAATCACCAACTGTCCTTGCTCCTTGCAGGGCCCAGAACTTCACAGTGCCTGTCATAGACAATTCTGTGCACAAATCCACCCCAGCAAAGTTTCTCATTCAGCTTTGACCAACTCATTTCTGCATGCCTCAGGGTAGCATGAGGTCCCAAGACTGGCAGTCTTTCTCCTTGTCAAGTGTCCCATGCACTCATCAGAGGCCCACAGGCCAAAGCCAAAATCTTCTGAATGCAGTGCTTAGTTTCAGTGAGCTCAGGTTGATCCAATTCAGCTGGGACATCTTGTAGAATTGGATACCAGCCTCCTGCTCCAGTTGCAGAGAGCCCAGCCCAGCCTTCTCTCTGCCTTGAATGGGACAGTGCTGGTCCAAGAAGACTTCCCCTGCTGATAGTAGTCCCTAAAAGTGCTGTGACCACCGTGCTCCCTTCTTTAGGAAAGCATGAAATCCATCTTCCTTTCCCACCCTCGTGGTGTTGTCTCTGTGAGAAAGAGAACGGTGTCTGCAGTGTTGCTCTACTTGTGCTTACTCTACAGGGTTGGTGCACTGCAAATATCTGTGAAGTGAGTGGTAAGAGGGAGTGTGTTCTGCCTGCCATTCCCTCCTCTTTAGTTCATATAATGATGCATCATTCCATTATGTGTGTCTTCTGGGGACACCTGTTCCTCTATTATGTGTTCACATATACAGAGCCAGGAAGTTAGGCACATTCACAGTAATGTGGGTAGTACCTGATCTGTTCTTTAGAGGGAATTCTGTCCTGGATAACATGGAATCACAAGAGAACAGTGGCTAAATTTGCTCTGGCCATTGCATCAGGGTCACAGCCTAGTAAATTGGTGGTTAAATGCACTCACCAGCTCTTTTTATGATGTCTGTGTCAACCTGTGTCCTATGGTATCCCCCAGAGATTCTTACTGTGGATACCTTGGAAGCCCATGGAATGACTCTCCAGTGTCCTTCACAATGAAGAGAATAGCTTCACCCACATGACAGATCCATGATAGGCGGCAAGGCTTCCCCAAGGCTACGAAAAACCAGCAGTGCTGACAGGGTCACAGCTCTGAGGAGAAAGATCTGGACCCAAATCCTCCTCCTGACTTCCTACATAAACCTAGACAAGACACCATGCCTCAGGTCTTTCACAGAGTGTCCCCATGCAATATAGAGGTCATCCTGGCATCTACTTCCTAGGGATATTTTCACCAGTCTGAGATGATAATTGTAATGCCTGTTGGCTAGTGTCTTGTGTACATAGTGTACAGAATTAGAGGTTAAATCCAGGAACAGATGCGATTAACATGGAATACAGTGCTGCCTGGTGGTAGAAATGACACTGACCTCCTGGACATATTCCCTGGTGGCATCGTGAGGGGGCA